ATGGTAGGAAGAATAAAAATCTAGCAGCTGATGTTGGTGTCTATATATTTTTTTTAACACCATTGCTTTGGTAGTTACCTTTTATTAGTTTATAAAAAACTTTAAGATCAACTAGTTGTCTCTTATCTGACTGTATTATGAGGTAATTGAAGCCTATGGGATGGAGTATGTTCCTGATGCTACAATGGCAGAGCCAGGGAGCCCTGTCTGCTGAGTCCCAAGTCTAGACTTCTGCCTACCTAATGTTCCCTAAGGATCTCTGAGTTTTGGCCTCAGCTGGTTACCAACAAATTAAGTGGCAACACTAGCTTGTTCAGTTTCTATGCACTTAAGAGTGAAGAGTGGTTGTTATGGGCTGAATCGTGTCCCCCCAAAATCCATGTTGAAGTCCTAACCCCTAGGACCTCAGATTGGGACAGTATTTGTAGATAAGACCTTTCAAGAGGTAATTCAGGTAAAACAAGGTCATATGAATGGGCCCTAATTCAGTATGACTGGCGTCCTTATAAGAGATTAGGACACAGACAACACACAGGCAGAGGGATGACCATGTGAGGACACAGCAAGAAGGTGGCCATCTGTGAGCCAAGGACATGGCCTCCAAACCTGCTGACACCTTGATTTTGCAGGTCTAGCCTGGAGAATTGTGAGAAGATAAACATCTGTTGTTTAAGCCACCGTCTGTGGTATTTTGTTATGGCAGCCCTAGCATATACAGTGGTCCATATTGGAAGAAAATGTAGAATTTACATTATATTTTTCTCTATAATGGAGACATTTGTTATTAATTAGGGCTTGTTAGTTTTAAGTAACAGAAATCAAATCCAGCCAACTTAAGCACACATAGGAAATTTATCCTAAGCAGACTAGTTTCTCACGAAACCAGAGTGGAAGGCAGCTGGCCTCAGAAATGCACTGGATCCAGGGCCTGAAGCACTGTCAAGATTCTGTTTCCATCTCTGCTCTTCACTGTGTACCTGCTTTTTTTATCCATCCCAATTTCGGATTCCAGGGGAGGAGACTGACTGGCCCAGCTTGAGTGAGGAACTCACGCCTGGTCTGAGTCACGGCCAGAGGAAGTAGGGTCACATGGCACACAGTGGCCGCCAGAGTCCTGTGGAGACGAAGGAGGCATCCTCAGGAAAGGAAGGCCCATCAGGCTACGGAATAAGTCCTCTGTAGCCTGGAGGGTCTGTCCTCTCTCAAGGGCAATGGGGAAACATAGAATGGCTAATGTATGAACAGTTTAGCTACAAAATTAAAGCAAGAGCAGCCTGCGCCCTCATCCAGACCAAGAACTGCTTACGACCTTACGGCTGTTTCCCAACTGAGGATGACAGAGAAGGAAGAGATGCCAAAAATGTTGATTAGCAGCCTGTCAAAATACGTGCACCCATCAGCTGGAAAAAAGTGGTCAGTGATCAACTGGAATTCCATTAAACAAATGCTGCAGAAAGTTTAAATCCAAAAAATAATGTGCAATGAAACATAACATGAAGCCAGACTGGTCTCTGGTTTTATATGTACTTGGGAGCCTAAATCATTACTCTCTGAGAAGAAGTAGGGGAAAGGATTAAATAATGCCTATTGTTTGGAAGAAGACGCAAGTATAGGAAATGCAGGAAGGATGAACTTTCAAACAAATCTAAATCAGGTAAAAATGGTTACCAGCCTGAATTAGCAGCGGAGAGGGCATCCTCACGGTTGGCATGGCACCTTGTTCTTGCTCACGCTACTTCCTCCTCTCCTTCCACTTAGTGTTCAGGCTTGAAGCCTCCGCTGAGGCACTATCTCCTTCAGAACACCTTCTCTGACAGACCACATGCTGTGGCATTTCATTTTTCTGAAACTGTTTTCTGGACATTGCGTCCCCCATAGACTAAACCTCCTTAGGCGTAAGGCCTATGTAAGATACTCTTCCCCACTTTGTCTTCAAGGGCCTGATATGCCTTCAATGAACATTTGTTGCCTGACTACTTGTCGTGAGCTGAACAGGAAATGATGGTCAGAAATCTGCTTGCTGGGCTCAAATAATCTTAGAATAATTAGAGAAGAAAGAGAAATATCCAGGACATTCCTTTTAAGATAAAAACTTTATTTTACAATTTTATAAAGCAGCTTTACATTAAGCACAAACAATCCATTTACTTTGTATAGAAACAAAATACCTTTCCATCTGCAAAAAATCAAGTTTTGCTGTATATAAAACTAACATGTGCACATTGTGCTTAAACTGCAAAGTCTGTACAGCTTTACAAAGGACCACCCTTCAGAAGGGCATCCTGTAAACACTTTATTGCATATTTAACACATGGTATATAACCCACATGTACAATGGAGGAGAAACAAGAAAAACAATTACAAGGAGGATGAAAATAGCAGCTTTCAGTGAAAGTTCGCACACTGACAAAGAAAAAGGACTGCCACATTTAGAGAGTTGTGCTTGTGTGTCATTTCTGTATTTGCTCATGTACACTGGATGGTTTTTGGATGAAGCCTTTATGTACAATAACTCCTAAAGGGTCAAACTTGACCTTTATCTGGAAACTTTTGGCTGGTTTTACAACTGAAGTGGCAATAGATTTAATTTAACATCAAAGCTAACTCAAGATAAGTGTAAAAAACTAATGTGCATAATCTCGAAACAAAGAAAAATTTAAAGAAATAAAACAAAATAAAACTTTTAAAATATCTTCTCCATTCTAAGCTCAGAGTAAGTAAACATTTTACATGATTTAAAACCCTAGAAAACTCTGTAGGTGTTTAGGAACAAAAATGCAACAGATGGTCTTGGGCAGTGTTCCTCCACGTATGCCCCAGCTCATCTGCAGCAGAATTACCCAAACGCTCGTCAAAAACGCAGATTATCACACTTCACACAGGCAGATTTACTGAATTTCTGGAATCTGTATTTCAGTAAGCTCCCAGGTGATTCTGAGGCATCCTCAAGTTAGAGAACCACTGGTTTGTACTGATGGTGCTGCTATAGGTTCAACTCACCCTCTTAGAAAATTCTGGGACCACAAGAAAAACCAAGGTGCTGTTGCAATGTGGAAGGCAGTGTGAAACCAACAGCAATGAAAGACCAATGCCATTTCTAGATCAAAAGTCTTTCCTTATTCAGTGGAAAAGCACGGCCACATTGTTAAGGCACTGATATTTGTCACAGAAACAGTACCATACTGTTTTCACTAATTCCCTTAATCTGAAGTACCAGTATGCAAACACAGGGCAGAAGTCTGGACCGTTCTAAATAATAACAAATATGATGAAGTAAAAAGTGGTTCCAGATTGGAGAAAATTTATTTTTGAGCACTGAAATTAAAAAAGAAGGAGTCCAGATATTCTTGTTGAGATATCTAATGTATAAGAACTACACAGGTCAAAAGCTAGGGGGAACCCAATAACCCACAACTGTCTTGTTGTGGGCAAAACAGAGTGGTGGTCACATAAACTGAGAGTTTAAGCTTACTTTTCCGTGGCCAGTTTAATACTGTCTTCAGTGTAGATCTATATTGTCTTCTTCACTCTTGCTCCCTGTGCCACTAATATACATATTTTGCATATCTATAACATTCATATATATGTATATATTTTCTGCTTTCTAAGTAGTGTTGGTAGCGTGAGTTCAATTAACATGTAGTGTGTAGGCAGGTGCCCACGTGGCTCTTGATGTGCATTTATTATAGGTCACAGACAAATTGCACTGTGTTTGTCAGACTCAGTCCCCTGAAAGTGTGGCGTCTCATATCTCCAATCTGTAAGTTACAGACTGACTTAGTGTAAAACAGAAGACAGCAAAATCAACCTCCCTTGGTTTTGATCGAATGACTGAAGCCCTATAGCAGACACTGCCCAGGGTGTGAGGGCTATGGAACTTATTTATGTGAGGTATAGTGGGATGTAAAACCCAAATAAAGGTCTGATTACACAAGTACAGCAAATGCAATAGGATCACTTCTATCCAATAGCTGAAATAATTTAAAATTGAAATTGCAAAGGAAAAGTCAATGGTTTGAAAAGTTGATGACCAAGAACGATCTAAGTAGGAACAAAACCCGCTATGATTCTTGTACATAATATTTGACCTAGTATTTTTCCGTAAAGGGGAAAAAAGATCCTAAAAGGGCAATGGTAGTGGACTTATCAAAATTACTAGCTCCTTCCCAAATTTAGGTTTATAATAAAATTTCTCAAATGTCCCAAAAATGTGCCCCCAAAATAGACAAAACTCTTGAGTGTAGCCTGAAATGAAATACAAAAGTCTAGATAGCGACAAAAAGAAACCATCACAATGGGGATGGGGGAGGGATAGACTGATTATCAAACCTTTACTGATTGTAGATCAAGTTTCATAAAACAGATAACATTTTTGTAATTTCTTGTGCAGTCAACAAGTTTCACTTTAGTTGTGCTTACATTATATAACTGTGAAGCCTGAACACTGGCTGTATTTTTAATTTACACATTTCAAGAAAACCATAAATTCAAAATATTCTCCATATATAATAAATTGAACAAATGCTCATTCACCCCCAAGAAATTAATCTATAGAAAAGAAACATCATTTAAAAAAGTTTCACACAGTCCACTATTCAGGCTACAAATACATATTTACTGTATTACAGCACATTATTTGTTTAAAGTCTGCTTTCAACATAAACATAAATAATCACATTTTAAAAGAGCCCCATACTGTCTTCAGGTAAGTGCTAGACAGTCGGCCAGTAACAGCCGCTTACCATGATCCTCCCCAAACTGAGAGGGACCGGCTATCTGTGGAACTGTACAGGGTGATAAGCAAGGCAGTTAAACGTCTTTGTTCAGCCCATTGACTAAACACTTTTCTGCTCTAAATGCCACCTACATTTCTGCTCTAAATGCCACCTAAATACCCAACCCACGGAATGCAATTATCTCAGAAGACTGGTTTTAAAGATCATTTATCACTTTGATGTAATCCACAAAAACCTAGTATACTACCTTTTAAAATGTGCCCATGCTCTGCTGAGACGGAGCCCGCAGTTTCTGTGTGCAGCAGAGGCTGAGACAGCATTTTGGTTCTGAGCTCTAGTTGTGCTTTGCCCTGCCGCCTTTAAGGTAGCTTTTCCACCTCTTGACAAATTCTTTGAAGATTGGGGACTCATCAATGGTGCTGAGTAGCTGCAGCTGATTGATGTGGGTCGTGTGATAGTCCCAGCGGGCCAAGTTGGGGGCAATGCCAAGCATGAAGTGCCGGAGGTCATAGATGGTTCCTGAGCCCGTGTCGTACAAGGGGAGCATGGCTTTCAGGGATTCCATGCCCCGCTCATACAAGGACCTTGCTTCTTTCCCAAGCTTTTCCCCTGCGGTTTCTTTTAAGTCATACAGCCCAATTAAAGAATACATAAAGCCATTTAAAACAAAAGAGCTAGGTGTGGTTGGATATTCTTCATACCAGTCATGTTTATTCATGAACACAGCTTTAACTCCATGTTGCTCTGACAGAAACTTATAAGGGGCTGTTGCCCTTAAAGCTGAATTGAGGAATATATGGTCTTTTGTTAACAGATAGGCCCTGACTAATGTAGAAATGGCTTGCCCTTGGGCCATGGCAGAGTACCACCCTGGCTCTAAAGACTTGAACCCTTCCCCTAACTTACGGGTCACCATTATTGGCCAGCCACCTTTCTCATCCTGGTTCCTTACCAGCCAATCACTGGCAGCAAAGAATGCGGCCATGTGGGCTGTGGTAGAGATGGTAATGTTGTCGAGGAATCCTTTCCCTTTTGCAATCAACCTAACCACCTTCTTGGGCATTATTTTGGTTGGCTTGACAGCTTTTGTGTTGGAAAGACCCACTCCTTTCTTGAGGTCAGTGACCAGGTCCCTGGTAACCGTGCTCCATGAAGTTCTGGGCCCAATGCCATAATATATGTCTCTTTCTTTAAAAGCAATTAGCTGGGTATTTGAGACATAATGTACAGTGAAGAGTTGATTCTTTTCTGTGGTCTCTAGAACCACGGACACACTTCCATTTGTCAAGAACTTGAGGTCAAATGAAATAATAAAATCTTTTGTGTTCCCCAGTTGCAAAGATACACCTTCACTGGTTTCTGTAGGGGGAAAATATACCAACAAAGACTGGTTAGAATAAAAGCTGTTTGTATTTAAAACTTAACTGCAATTCATCCTTGACAACCACTGACCATACAAATTTAACACTTCAATATTTTATGTGCCAGATCATCATCATCATTTTTTTTACTAAACTGACCACAAATGAGAGAATTGGTGAGGCCATGATAGCTTGTGAGCATCAGGCCAAAGCTCTTACCTTTTGACCTGTCTAGTTTACATTAGAGGGTTAACAGAGCAAATGGCTAAGGTATTGTTGATCAAACTGCCTTTTCTACTAGATCAAATGCTACCTGATCAACAATCAATGACTATTCTAGTATATTCATTCTGCCAAAAGAAAAAAATAGCCAAAAGCTGGCTCAGCACATTATATTGTAAGAGAGAAGCTAGAAGGAAAGAATGGCTATACATGAATTTAAAAATTTTTATTTAATTAACATTTAATAAATATTTACTATGTTCTAAGTGCTTTTTACATATTAACTCATTTAATCCTCATAAAAATTACCAGAGCAGGTGCTACTATTACTCTCAATATACGGATGAGGAACTGAGACACAGAGAAGTTAAGTAACTTGCTCAAGGCACAAAGAGTTGAACCCACGCTGTCGGGTCTGGCTCCACAAGACACGCTCTTAATCACTATTTGCTGCTGAAAATGATAGGTTTGTTTTCAGATATTTGCTGGAATTGTGAATAAAGCATCTGGAAATTAAGGGATACTGGGGGAGGTGGAGAGAGAAGCACAGGCTTTGGAGTTAGAAAAACAAAAACCTTGTTTGAATTCTTACTCTTCCAGTTACTAGCTTTGAGATGTTCAATAAGATATACCTCTTTGGGCTTCAGTTTCTTCACATGTAAGGTAGAGATAATATTACTTTGGAAGATAATTGTGAGGATTAAAAAAGGAAGATAGTGGCTTGGAACATGGTAAAAAATGATAGTGATTATTATCATTATTCTGAAGCCACTGGCTTCAGAGGCTGATAAAATAGTAAAAGCTGTTTTATCTGGCAAGTTATCAAATGAGAAATTTCTCTTGCATATCTGTAGTGAGTGCAATGATGGCTGACTCCCAGAAAGACGATTTCTAAATACTGCTGGTCTAGATTTACCAGGAAAAGAAGCTGAGCACATTAAAACCAGACAGCAGCAACAGCAAGAACAAGCACAACAATGACGATAACTACATGTAATACAAATTCTAAAATATTAAAGGTAAATATGAATATCTTGATCTTTACAGAGCTTTCAAAACACATTCACATGTATCATCTCATTTGACCCTTTCAATAACCTTCTGAGGCTGGTAGAGCAGGAATCACTACTTCCATTTTAGAGATGAAGATATGGAGGCCTTGCAAGGTTAAAAGGTTTGCCCAAAGCCAAACACTAATTAGTGGGAAACAGAGACTAGAAACCAGGATTCCTGGACCCAAGTTCAAAGACTGTAAAAAGGAATGATATAGGAAATGGCATCCTCAGGAGAATAATCAGTGAGAAAGTTATTTCTCTTAAGTATAGCCACAGAATCAGATCTGCTTTGAGGAGTCCTTGAGAAAATCTTTAGCATGTCACCAGAAGCAAAGACTGGAAATGTGAACTGGTGATGGTGTTTACAGGGTGATGAGCTCGGAGAGTATTAGCACGTTGAGTTGACTGTTTAACTCTCCCAACACTGGATTCTACCAGTGTGAATATAATTGACCCAAGGCTCTTAATTACTTCATTTGGTGGAACAGACAATTATGGAAGTTGTAACAAGAATGAGAACATCGTGATAGACTTAATGCGTCAAACGATGCTTTGAGTAACTTTTAAAAAAGTGATTTCAGAAATATACTTCTAATACACTAAAAATCCATTTAATCTGGAAAAATGTAAACAGGCAATCTCTCTCTTAACTAGCATTTTTCTGCATCTATAGTAAAATGGAATCTGATGCTCAGTACAACATCCCTAAAACACTGCAGGATTCTGAATTGACTTGTGAATCACTCTAGATTAAATTATATTCAGTAGAGCAGACTATCTTGAGTGCTACTTATTTTTTCATTCTTAAGGTAATGCCTCATTAATCAGACAATATTATTAACTATGACATCCATTCTCACCAAACTGGATCACAATGACCCATCTTCAGAAGTCCAAATGGGAGGAAGCTGAAGAAGTACCCATTTTCCTCCCAGAATTCCACTGTAATTTTCACTTTATGTATAAAAATCCAATGAAATGATATGGTTCAATCAATCACCTTATGTCTCAACATAACAGATTAGTTCAAAGAACTCAGTCATGAACGATGTCACGAAATATAACCTTTTAAAAAAGCACTATTAATTTTTCTACAACCTTAACACCACCAGAGGGGGTTACTGAGCCACAAAGAAGAAGAGACAGAGAAGTCACAACTGCCAATTTAAATCAACAATTGTAATCTTCGCAACAATCTTATGAGATAGGTCTTTTAATTCCCATTCTATAGATGTACGGAGAGGTTAAATAACCTGTCAACATCACTTAGAAGGATATGAATGGTAGCAAATGGGATGTGACTATGGTTGTGGCAACCACCTTGGAAATATACTAGGCAAGGTCCTGAGCTCACTGGAGGTCTTATGCTATCTGGAGACCCCTGCTTTAAATCTACTAATAGAAAGTTTTGAGTTTCCTAATTGTTTGAAATTAGGCCCCTCCCCTCTCTGAGGAGTCATTCCCAGGTGTCACTACAAGTGTGTATTTTTGGTATATGTGTACATGTACGTTAGGCAACAAAGGATGATTAAGAATAGTCTTTAAATCAATGTTTTCACATACAATACAGACTGTTATCATTCATTCATTTAATCAGCAGGTTTACTATGTGGAGTGAGAAGAGGCCCTACTCAGAACCTCCAAGAACACTGAGAGATAGGGGTCAGGAGAAGAGAAGCTCACAAGAAGCCTGAGAAAGAATGGCCACAGAGAGACGATCAAGTGAGCCCATGGAAATGAAGTGAAGAGAGAGCCTCAGGAAAGGGAAAGCTAATTTAATCTAATAGAGTAGGATAGGTATAAAGTTTCAGTTCATTCCATCTTAAAATTAGGAAGAGGAACAAAACATTATTTAACAAATAAAACAATAAAAAATATGCGCAGACCCATGTTATGGTTCATTCCTCTAGATAATTCTGTCCCCTTTCAGGGGAAAAAATTCAAAGCCAAAAATAAATAAATAGAGCCAGCCCTGATGGCCTAGTGGTTAAAGTTTGATGCGCTCTGCTTCAGTGGCCTGCGTTCGTTCCCTGGTGCAGAACCACACCACTCATCTGTCAGTAGCCATGCTGTGGTGGCAGCTCACATAGAAGAACTAGAAGGACTTACAGCTAGAATATACAACTATGTACTGGGGCTTTGGGGAGGGGAAAAAAAAAGAGAGAGAGAGAGGAAGATTGCCAACAGATGTTAGCTCATGGTGAATCTTTCCCAGCAAAAATAAATAAACAAACAAACAAATAAATAAAATGCCAAGAGCATTCAGGCTCTGGTCCTCCAGAGCCTCATCTCACTTAGGCCTATGCTTTTATGTACAGTCATGTGCTGCACAATGAAATTTCGGTCAACAACCGACCACATATACAATGGTGGTCCCATAAGATTAGCATCATATAGCCTAGGTGTGTAGCAGGCTATACCTTCTAGGTTTGTGTAAGTACACTCCATGATGTTCGTACAACAATGAAATCGCCTAATGATACACTTCTCAGAACATATCCCCATCTTAAGTGACACATGACTATACAAGTCCCAATTTCTTTTCAACAGTGATTCTCTGAATTGATCTCCTGTGAGGTCTATGTCCTCTAAAAAGCCTCATCTCCCATACCTATGCCTTAATAAAACAGTCTCACCTCTGTGATTTCCTTCTCCTGCTCTGAGCAAAAACTCCCACGTAACTCCAACTCACTCTCTCTCGTACACTTGTATTGAATTCAACGCCAAGCACACCCAGGGCATCAAAACCACCACCCATTCCCAGCTAGCACACTCCCACCAACAGGGAGTTCCAACTGTGAGTAGCTTGTGTTCCACTGGCAGAATGACTGTCGCAGAGTTCTCTCCTCCATATGCTTAAAACCACCCTAGGAAGTAGTTGTATCTCCAGCTACTGGCTGCAGAACAAAGAGCTAAAGTGAGGATCCCTCACTTAGTATGAGGGGATCTATCTTTTCTACTACCCAGGACATCCAACAGTGCACAATGAAATCTATTGCTCTAAATAGGATAGAATTCAAAAGATTGTTCTAGAAAACTTCCCAGCACTTGAGGAGATCAAGATGAGGACTGCTGTTTTCCACCCTATTCAGACAACATTATTAATTAGTGCAGGAATAAGCTCCTGGGTTCAACCCAAAGCAAATGTCCTTTTGCTTAGTCTAATCATTTCCTGCTGCAATAACCTCTTAGGTATCACAAGCTAAATATTCTTAAACATGTCCACGTCCTTTCTGACCTAGCCACGTCTGCTGTTTTACATTAAGCAAAGATGCTCTATGTGCTGGAATATCACAGAATGCTATAGGAGAAAAGAAGTTCTAGTCACAGAATAAAAACTAAAGGTCACCCATTATTTGCACTGCATTAAGCACTCATAAATCCATTACTTAAGGCCATCTAGAACGAGTAGATTTGTATCGTGGCTTTCAAGGTCTGTGAATCACACAGTCATCAATAAACGACAAGGAGAGAATAGAGAAGAGGTCTGACAACCTTTTCTCTCTTTTTATTTACCTTCTGCAAGGTTAGGGGGAGGAGGGAAGCGTTCTGTTCTTGACAACATTTCCCCAAAGAGAATTAAGCCTGAGGTGCTAAAATTATTTCATTGTCTTTTTAAGTAATGGACTCATTAATTCTCATGGATATTGATTAGTGGAGAAAAATACATCCTAATTAATGAGACTGTCTTAGTAAAAGGGGAAATGTTGCATAAAGTTAATTTGATTTTATAAATGATTTTATTAATGAAATGGTTTTGTATGAAGTTTGAGATAATCTAGTACATTAACAAAATTCAATATGGGAAGCAGGCCTGGTTGGTAATGCTGTATTATCTTGAAAAAAATAAAAAGCTACTGGTAAAAAATAGGCAAAGGAAAGGAGGGCTCTCTCTATAAAGAAAAATTTCTACCATAATGCAAAATAGTTTAAAAATTAAAGAATAACTACTGTATTGAAATATTAAAATAAACCAAGGAACTTCATTCCTGTGAGATATAGATCCCCGGAAGAGACACACACCATGCAGTAACCTGTATCTTAATATTCAATCTATGGCTTGGCTCTTCACATAGTAAATTTTCCTTTTATAACCTTAAATTTTTAGCTGTTCCTTTTTTAGCGATTTCACTTGTGTGACACCATTTGTTTCTTTCCATACATAATATAAAGGATCTGCTAATGTGTTTTTAAAACCATAAAAGCAATTTTAAGGGAGTTATCAGGTGCTATAAATCAACATAAAATTAGCAGACACATATTATACATCACTTACCTGGAGCAAGGAACTGTTTAACATTGGTGAATCTAGACTTATCAGCCACACTGGCCACAAAGCAACCCTTTGGCACGGTCCAGTCATTCGCCTTGCTGTTTTTGTCCCTGTCTTCTGCTGTCTCATATACCTCTGTGTGAGGGGGTTTCTCAGTTAGATTCTTGCTGTAATGACTTAACCCATACTGTGCAATCTGGATTGGGTAGAAATAGCCTTGAGGTCCCCACTGGGTAGATAAAGGTACACCTATAAAATAGAAAAACAAAGTAAATAAGCATGTCCAGACATTTGCAAGCCTATTTTGAACACTACTCTTCACTGTTTTACTTCTAGGGGACTTTATAGGGTTATCAGCAACTTTTGAGCATCCTTATTATACTATTTACCTAATTACTAAAAACTAGTACCAAATTAACCAGATACGAAAAACAAAATTAAGTGTTCATTCACTCTCATTCATTATTTGCTAATCAACAGCAATGCAATGCTGTAGAGTATCTTTTAAGGACTAATTTTTTATGTGTATTACTTTTCTCATAGCTACAGATATCATGTTTCATAATCCTGTTCACACATTCAAGTTTTGCACAATTTAAATACATGTAGATAATGTCACCACAATTTTATTCTAGAATATTAATCCTGAAATTTTCTTAAAGATTTGTACTTAACAATCAAGTTAATTACATACTCATCTCTCCCTCCAATGTCAAGATGTTGCCTAATAGCTGTATCATCTGATAGTTAAAGTATTTTCTTAAGAAGCCAGTTATGACTAGGCAACTTAAACTATCAACACAGCTTGTGTTCTTTTTCATATCTTTCATGTCAAAACGTAATTCTTAAAAATGAGGAGTGGTTTTTTTTTTTTTAAATGAATTAAAGTTTTATATTTAACCATAGATTCTTGAAATAATTCTTAACGGATTACCTCTTGTCAAATTCTAAGCAAAACTTTTAAATGTTTGGTATCAGTAGTAATTTCCCACATGAGAAATACAGTAATACCACATTGCACAGAATACTATATGGTTGCATCATAGTGTACGTGTTGAGAGAGAAACTCCTATCTGTAGCTGTAAAATAAATTAACAAGCATCAGATGGGCACACCGCAGAAACTGGGAATCTATAAAACTGGATGTGTTCTGATGTAGTTTCAAAACAGTTTAAGGAACTTGGGACTACATAGGCTAAGAAACCTAGGCTACAGATAAGCTTCTTAATTTCTGTATTCTTTCTCCAAGGGGCACTTTTTTTTAAATTCAAATGGAATTATTGTCACTTAATAAAAGGCAGGTTTATGCAATCTCATTAAAGATGAGCGATAAATACAATAATGTGCAACAGGCATAAGAACTGATAGACTGATCAATGGAACAGAATAGTAGGCCAGAAACATACTCTAGTATTCAAAATATTTTAGTATAATGATAAAGATTGCATCATGAATTAATGGGGAAAAGAGGAGATTATTCAATACATGTTAGGGAAAAAATCTAAAATTAGACCCTGACCTTGTACCATTTACCAAAATATAAATCAATTTAGCTGGACTAAGAAGTTAAATGTAAAAAAACAAAGCCACAAAACTACTAGAGAAAGTACAGATGAACAGTTGATCATGGTGTAGCAAATGACTTGCTAAGCATAAAAGGAAGAAGTAAAAAAAAAAAAAAATCCCTAAGTTTAGTAAATAGAACTAAAAACTTCTAAAACTAATGAATCATAAGTAAAATGAAAAGTCAAATTCAATTTGGCTTTCTGGTTAATCCTAGGTTTGAGATACAAATCCCAGAATATACTAATTATACCCATAAGGAACCCTCACTGCTCCAGGTTTGAAAGACAATGAAAGACAATACATAATAGACTCCAGGAGTTCAGTATAAATTCAGAGAAAATGGTGTCTATGTACTGTCTTATTCTGAGGACTTTAAACCTCCATCCAGAGATGATACCTGGCTAATCTGGCACCAAGACTGCACCGGTACATTGATGGGCTCATTGGATGATCTCTCTCCCTTTCCCATCTCCTCTCATAGGATAATAACTGTATATTTTAATGCAAAATTTCTGGAGATGCTGTGCCTTGAGTTTACTGGTGAGAATTTTAGATTCTGAGGCAGGTTAATGGGATAATCCTATTTGATCAGGTATGATCTTATTGAAGCCCTTACATCACACCATCTAGAAAGGTGCCCTAGGTTCAGACTTAACCTGTTCTGCCCTGCTAAGACAGAGTGATGAAAGGTCTCTTGATAGTAAGCTATCTATGTATCTGCTATATAATTAACACCTACAGTTTCTTATTCCTCAACACAGTTAAGATAGAAAAATGCAGTGGAGCAGACAGATACCAACCTTCAACCCCACTTATGCACTTGACTCTGTCTCGGACTTCCACATTGTAGCCTTCAAACGACATAAACACACCATCAGGGTGATAAGGGGCTCTCTGTGCATAGACTTTGGAATAGCTATGAGAGAATTCAAACCGATCATAGCCATCATACTGAACCACTTTTCCATAAACGTCAAAATATTTCTCTACCCAGGTGAATGGAAGAAAGACTTCATTCCCCTCTCGTCTCCCTTTAATTGTGTGTTCATCATTTATGAGACAGTCGATTTCTTCATATTTGAGCCCTAACACCTTGCTTCCCCCATTGCTATTGAAGCCTCCAACGACAGGCGGTGCTTTCTGCTGTTCCTGAGGGAATCCCTCCTCAGACTGTCTGGCCATGTGGTTCACATAGTTGTTACTCTCAGATGCTGCCGCTCTTTTTTCCAATCCATCCCCTCTGAAGCCACCACTCAAATGCCGTGGAAACTGGATCGCTTTGTCGCTGGAACACTTATTCCACAAGAGTACTGTGACCAAAGTGAAGAGTGCGCAGATGATAATCAAAGTCTTATAGTTGACCCGAGCTGCCAAGCAACGCATATTCAGACCATACCTATGGAGGCAAGAAAAAAAATTCATGAAAGATGTACTGCTGACATCTCATAGGATAAGGTGTTCTTTATTTTTTTTATGTTGAACATTAGGGAAATTTTATTAATTGTATGTAATCTGATCTGATATAAAACTACTGACTCAAACTTTTCAGCAGAAACAAAGAAAAGGCAAGAGGTGCTTCCCCCTCTTAAAATGCTCAGCATGATCTGCTAAAGCAGAGATTCCCAAACTTTCTCTGTTTGTGGCTCCCTTGGTATGTCAGTAATTTTTTTACAAAGCCCCCAGGCCAAAAGAAATACCTACTAGTTTCATTTATTAAGTAGTTGGGCCCAAACAACTTAATACATATTTCTCTCCTAACAACTTAGTAGCTGTTTGAAAAAACGTAACAGGTCTTGTCAAGGTAAACACTGACATCCATCTTGCCAAACCCAACAGTGAATTTTTGGTGCTCGTCCTACTTGACCTCTCAGCAGCATAATAGTCCATGACTCTTTCCTTCCTGAAACACTTTCTTCTCACGGCTTCCAGGGCCCCATTCTCTCTTGGTTCTTCTTATCTCCCACTGGCTGCTCCTCCTCAGTCATCTTTGATCATTCCTTTTCACCTCTCTGAACCTTAAATGTTGGAGTGCCTTAGGGTCCCAGGCCTCAGATCTCTTCTTTATCTCTATTCACTTGTAATCTCACCCAATCTCATGGCTTTAATTACAATTTATATGTTGACTACTCCCCAAATTCTATCTCCAGGCCAGACCTTCCTTCAGAACTGCAGAGATCTATATCTAAGTGCTGATCCAAGTAACTGACATCTTTCCTTGGACATCAAATGGACTTCTGAAACACAACATCCAAAATGTAACTCAGAATCTTTCCCCTCAACCTGTTACTACTTTCCTACTGCTCAGAGCAGAAATCTTGACTCCCTTCTTGCTCACCCCATACCCAACTACTCAGGAAATCCTGTTGGCTCTACCTTCAAATTATACCCAGAATCTGACCTCTTTTTACCAACTCCACTGTTACCACCACATCAGAGCCACTGTCATCTTTCACTTGGAATACTGTAATGATGTCCAAACTGGTCTCCCTGCTCCTACCCTTGCTCTACTATTCTACTCCCCCAAGTCTATTCTCAATACAGCAGTCAGAATGATGCTTTTAAACATAAGCCAGATCATGTCCTTCCAGTCATGACGAGAGAAGAATTTGACGCTGTTGTCCCTGCTGGCCATATGGTGTACCAGCCAGCTGTGATTGCAATGCAAGCAGTCCCCAGGTGCCTGTTGCTGGGGTCACTGAGAAATACGGAAAATTATGGGTTAGCAATATATGGAATATTTCAGCCTGCTGAGAGTAAGGGGAGGAGTCTCATTGCTATTTGCTACAGTGGCTCTGTAATTTATTTTACGGTGTAAATCTACGACTACTTATTTTATTGTTTGTAATCCTCCCCACCTTTTTCCTCTCAATAAACCCTTTAGGCAGCAATGAAATTAAAAAAATCAAACCTCAAAATGAAAATGTTTAATGAAAAATTACACAGTGGATTTCTGTTTTTCAAGAATGTTGATAGTGAATGTATAATTCACTAATTTCTTTTAATTCCAAGAGAAGATAAACTTTGAGTCTTTGCATGTCTGAAAACAACTTTATTCTGCCCTCACCTTTGATTAATAGTTTGGCAGCATACAGAATCCCTGGTGCATACTATTTTCTTTTGAAATGTTGTAGGCAATATTTTACTGTCTTAAAGCATTAAGGGTTACTGATAAGAGATTTGATTTCAGTCTGACACCTGTCACTTTGTACATGACTTCCCTCTGGATCTTTTGTATATCCTAGGAATCCTGCAGCTTCACAAGAATGCGTTACAGCATATTTGAATCACTATTTCAGCACTTGGTGTGCCCTTTCAATATGAAAACTTGTGTTCTCTTATTCTTGTTTACAAGATGTAGCATCTTCTTGCAGCACTGAGTATACTTTTTTGTAAAGTTCTCTCTAAATGATTAGCTCTGTTTTCTCCAGTGGCAATTTTTCTGGTTATTTTAGTTTCTCTTTCATGCTGTTAGTTTTCCTCACATGCCTGGTGATCTTTGGTTACTCATTCATATTAGGGCCTGAATGACTCATTAGCCAACAGATTTCCTCTGTTATTGTGAAGACGGTCTGTTTTTTGGCTAGACTGCTCTCCTGAGGGGGACTCTGTGGGCTAGGTACAGGCTGACTGACAGTGTTCCTTTAGGGTGTGTGGGTGGGAAGCCAGCAGGCACTCTAAATGCTAGAATGAAGATGGCTTTTTTCTTTTGTTCTGGAGACATAAGTTGTACTCCAGAAGCCTTAGCTTCTCCCAATTTCTCTAAGGAAAATCTGCCTGGTGTTTTGCCTGGGGTTCATGCCAGCTATCTGGAGTCCAAGTGCAGGGGTGAGAGAGGTACGGGAAGGTAAGGAGAGGGTACAGTTGTGCCTGCTAGTACTCGAACAGAGATGCAGAAATCTGTTCAATTACCATTCTTTGGTAGTCTTCTTCTTTATTGTTATTGGTTTCTTCATTTCGTATTTCTATACTTTTACTATAGTTATATATATAGTATACTATATATATAGTATACTATACTTATACTATGCATTTTATTTCAATGGGGCGTCAGGAGGAAAAGGAGGCAAAGATATGGGTTTGATCCATCTTGGAATCCATAAACAGATTTTAAGAGCTGGAATCCAATAATGCACTTTTTGGCATTGGCATTATTACTATGAGAACATGTGTTGAATGCTGAAAAACCAAAGTGTGGTACAAACAAATCTTCAAAAATAGTGTATTTATAAATTGAGGATTTCCTTATATTGTAGTACAAACTGATAACACTAAATGGTGTTTATCAAAAAAAAAAAGTCCTTCATTAAAAACACTTATGTGACAACATTTGAATCATTCCTCTCTGCTTATGAAACTAGGTTACCATTATGATGAGAGACATGATGGGAAAATCAAAATTAAAAACTTTCAATAACCTTGATGCCCAGATTTTGTTATCTAATACCATTCCTTACTGAACGCAATCAGGGCTTCTGAAAGAAATGGGTGATTCCAGGTCTGGGGCCTTGCCATGCCAGAAAACAAAACTTTCAAATCAATGGGATCATAATCCAGGGGATCAGAAAAGCAGTAAAGGACAGATAAAACAAGATTGGAAACATACAGATAATTGCTGAAGCTGGAAGATATGATGGAAGTTCACTATATTTTTCTCTACACTTTTGTTATGTTTAAACATTTCCATAATTTAAAAAATAGTGTCATAGAAAAAAGACACAGGATAGGAATCAGCCTGAAAGGTCCCCTTCTCCATTAAGTAAAGTTGTGAGAATTATGACTGATGTTGACTGTAACACAATGAATCAATAAAAATCCTTGAGTCTACAACGATATTCAAAAAGCAGAAAGCTAGAAAAAAAAACTTAGGTCATCTTCTGAGCTGGTGAAAATTGGTAACTAAGTGAAAGAATTTATTTATCTAGCCGACTTTTGAAGGAGAACAAACCAATAGCCCCAGATGATAAAGAATTCTATTTTAGAGAAAAAGGATGGCTAATAATGTATTAGAAATTAGGAAAAAAAATCAGAAAATTAGCATTATGCGATCCCTAATGAAATTATTTATTTAGGCAAGTATTATATTCAGGTATATGTTTGCTAGGGACCTAGAGATTCATACTGTGCAAAGTAACACCAAATACACTCTTTTCTAATCGCAAGGAGAAAAAGATGAAACTCTATAATGAAGGGATTGGATGGTCATTACCCTAATTCAGTCTCATTAATGGTGACTCATCCAGATACTGTGTATCTTGATGAGTTAAAATAAAAAGTACAAAACTTTTCATCTATCCCAACCAAAAATGTTTAACTTGGATCTCTCAGGTCTTAAGTTTTAACTTCTAGTTAAGGAAATACAAGGGATAGAGGAACAAGTTAAATGAGGAAGCAACCAGACACATCTAAATGAGACATCCTGCAGGAGAGTTGGCCCCGTCTCCTCAATAAATTAGTGGTATGAAAAGAAAAAGGAGACTAGGTTAGATTTTTTTTTTAAGAGACTTAAGGGACATAACAACCAAATGTGAACCTTTGTTCTACACTGGGAAATCTGACTAGGGACTTGATAAAAGGAAAGATGGAAGGACATCTGGAGATTGTTAATTGAAAAAAGGAGGTTACAAAACAGCACATACAGTATGATCTCACTTTAGTACTCAATGCATATATAGGTCTTTATTTTCTAATTTTCCATGATTATATTTACCATTTTTTTAACCATAAAAATTGAAAACTAAGACGGTCAATTTTGTTAAAATACTGAAAGAAAGAAATGTAAATTTTAAGTTAAAAATGTCTATAAATATGTAGTTTTCAAAATAGGCACTGACTTTTTCTAATTTCCACGACTATATTTACTTTTTTTCATAACCATAAAAATTGAAAATTAAGAAAGTCCAAGTCAATTTTGTTAAAATATTGAAAAAAAGAAATGTAAATTTTAAGTTAAAAATGTCTATAGATATTTAGTTTTCAAAATAGGCACTGACATTTTTGGGAGGGAAGGGAAAGAGAGGGGAGACAGAAGGAGGACGGAAAGAAAGAAATCCCTGAGTATTGACATGCAGTATTAACTACCAAATAGGCTCAATCTAAAGGTAATTGTGATAATTTTATTATAATGTTGCTCAAATTATAGAAAATTGACCACGGAAACTTTCGAATTTTAAAAAGTAGACTGCATTGAATTTTGCTAAGTATAAATGATAGTAACTTTAAAAGCTAAAACCAGGGTGACGTCAGCATCATGGCAGAGTGAGCTTTCCTGTAAACTCTTCCCCCCATAAGATACAACAAAAGGAACAGTCACAGACCAACAATGGACTCCTAGACAGCAAAAAGGAAGATCGGAAAGATCCACACTGCTGCACATCTGAGAGTGGACGTCCTGCGGCC